TCAGCGAGCACTAAGGGTCCACCCCAGAATGAGAGGACAAGTCAAGACAGAGCCAATGGGGCCAAGAAGATGGAACATTCAAAGTATTCCCAGAGGCTTGCTGGCCAGCCAGTCTGGGTTCTTTGTGAGTGAGGAAGATATCTGATGCTGACCTCTGCCCTCCATACATGAAAGCAGGTGTTCATGCACCCATACACACATGTATATGCATACACACAGCGAGCCTTTTCACTCTGATGGCCTGGTTCCCAAACCAGACTCTATGACGCTAATTCCTCTCTGTTCAGTCCTCTACCCAGGGCCTCGAGAAGCTGACAAAAGTCAAAGTGTTCCCTGGCAGGCTTATCCTGGCGGCCGCCCAGCCGACTTGTGCTAACACAGACAACAGACTCAGGAAAGAGTCCAGAGAGTGGAAAAGCACCAGTGAGCCACTGAGGGGCCAGGGGAGTCCTGCTACTCCAACGTCCCTTCATCATAGAGCTGGGGAAAGACCCAGGGAGGGGTGGGGAGTAAGCACATCCATTTGGTAATGTATCTCAGTGAACCTTGACTGTTGGGCCAATCAAAAGACATGATTCACATGTCTCCGAGATGAATCAGCAAGTATGATTCAGCCAGCCCATGCCTTGCTCATCCCAGCAACCCTGACCTGGATTTGGCTACATGCAGACAAGCCCTGCTACTTAAAATTGTCACCTGCGCAGAGGCAAGAGGGCAGGTGCTGTCTTACCGCCATTACAGAAGACACAGACCTCCGCCAGTCCGTGGGAAAGAAAGGTCTAGCTGAGAATATTAATAGACTCAACAAGAACATGCCCCAGGAAATGAAATTATTTAAAAGGAGGCACAATCAAAGAGAGGCGGGAAGAAGGGAGCACTTGGATTTCCAAAGATAGGCCTTCCTCAGCCAGGCGCGGGTAGGAGGTGCACCCGTGGGGACAGGGTTATTCTAAAATATCTGAAAAAAATCTAAAAACATCTATGGGAAAACCTTGTTGTTTCTGTGGCTTTCTTCCCATCCTTCAGCGTTTTACCCAGGCTACTGTATTGAACTCCACACACTCAGGCACTTGGAATACTCAAAAAAAAATAAAAAATAAAAAATGGTTTGTTGTTTTTTTCTTTCTTTTTCTTTGTGGGAGGGAGTTTTGTGACACAGGTCTCACATGTAGTCAGACTACAGTCAAACTAGTTATGTGGCCAAGGATTTCCATCCTCCTGCCTTAGCTTCTCTGCCACGCCTGGCTCCAAACATTATTTTCTGGAAACAGTAAAAATGCATGGCCCTTAGATCTTATTAGGGGAGCAACTTTCTTCCTTGTGGTGTTATCATTAGCACCTTCTAGACCACCTGAATTACACCCCCACCCTAAGAAGGGCATTTTGAAGGTCACAGATTGGCAAGCTTGATTTTTTAATATTTTAATTTTTTATTTATTGCCTGTGTATACACACTTGCCACATTCTGCATGTGGAAATCAGAGGACAGCTTGTGGAAGTTGGTTCTCTCCTCCTGCCACAGGAGTTTCAAGAATCAAACCCAAGTTATCAGGCTTGGTGGCAAGTGCCTTTTTCCACTAAACCAAACCATTTTGCTGGCCCTCACTTTTAATTTTTGGTTGTTTTTGTTGCTGTGAAACAGCATCTCATGTATTCCAGTCCTCAAACTTTTAAATATATTTTTACTGTGTGTGTGTGTGTGTGTGTGTGTGTGTGTGTGTGTGTGTGTGTGTACCCGAGAGAGCACGCACACACATTGCACGTACATGCCACAGCACAACGTAGGTGATTGCTAGAGAACAACTTTGTGGAGTTGGTTCTTCCTGCCCACTGTTTTTGGGTGTTTGGGGGATTGAATTCTGGCAGTCAAATTGCACAGCAAGAGTCTTTACCCACCGAGCATCTCACTAGCCTGACTCTGAACTTCTGATCTATCTGCCTCTACTTCCCAAGTGCTGGGGTCACAGGCATGCTTTCCCGCCACCCCCACCCCAACAGCCCTGTTTATACGGTCCTGAAGACAGAACCCGGGGTTTCATGCATGGGTAGTCAAGTACTCTACCAGCTGAACTAAATGTCCAGCCCCAGATTTTCTTTGATGAGTTGTCACTGTTTGTAAAATAGGTTCTACAAAGGGAAATAAGGAAAACTCCACTCAATTTCTAGCATCTTTGGGGAAGGAGATACAGAAAATCTAGTGCCCCTGAGTGAACAGAACGAAGGGAAAGCCGGATCTTCACTGCCCCCTATTGACAGGCCTGTGGCTTCCAGTTTCTAGCCACGCCAGCCCAGTCACTCATTTGTCACTTGACTGCCTCCTGCAGGCACCAGCACTGACAAGTTTTGCCCAGTGGGGCAGTCTCACACCTGGTAATACTAAGAACAGCCACAGAGTGGCAGCACCAGGTTATTAATGCAGCCATCACTGGCCTAGCCAGTGGGCCAAAGCTCTGCTTAGCTGTTGTTTCAGAACATCTTTTCTTCCTTTCTCAGGTGGTACACAGTTGCTCCTAAAACTCTGAGCAACAACTCAAAACAATCCCCTTAGGCACAAAGGGGTAGATACTGATGGCATTTGCTCTCTTCCAGGCCACCACATGCCCCTCTTCCCAGGATGCTCACTCCATAGCTGGCGTCTCCACCTGACACCATCCATCAGACCTCTGGGGAGATGGTTCCTGAGACAAGCAGGGGAGTCACCTTCCTCAATTAGAGGCAGATTCACGCTTAATCAAATAAATGCTCACTGTGCTTTCTTTGCTCACTTGGCTTAGCCATCTGCTTCTTCCAGCCCTCTGCTCTCACTCCCTTTACAACTCCCAGCAACATCCTGAGTGGTAACTGTTGCACAAAAAATAAAAGACCCAGAGACAGATACTGGGGTTCAACCTGAAGATTGGGAAGCAAAGAGGCTAAGCTACCAGAAAGCTCTTACCTCTAACAGGAGAGGTGTTCCTATTCTCAACATGGCTGGAGAATGAATCCCTGATACTGACTACTGAAGATCCTGCTCCTATCCTTCATACCCCTCTAGTGCTAGGATTAAAGGCATGTGATCTCAGGTGTTAAGATCATCTTTGTGTGAGCTGTTTCTCTTTAGGACTGGGTCAATCTTATGTAGATCTGGGTGGCCTTGGACTCACAGAGATCCATCTACCTCTTAATCCCAAATCCTAGGATTAAAGGTGTGTATCACCACCTCCTAGCTTCTGGCTACTGGGATTAAAGGTGTGTGTCTGGCTTCTATGGCTTGTGGCTGACTTTGCTTTCTGAATCCTCAAGCAAGCTTTAATAAATCATAAATAATACATCACCCCAGGTAACATACACGACAGTCCTTTTGGAAGGATGTTTTGTACTATGCATGGAGACCCACCTTATCCAAGGACATTTGCTGTTCCTATCATTGATTCCATAATGCAGGGACAGTCACTGCAGCATTTAAACTCGTGAACAAGAATAATACCCATATCCAGCAATAGGGAAACTTTAGAGTCAGCTTTTGCTATAGCTTCACTTGGTGGGTACATAATTGCCCAGCTACTAAAAACAGTGATGAAGGGGGCTGGAGAGATGGCTCAGTGGTGAAGAGCCATATCTTGCAGAGAATCTGAGTTCAGTTCTCAGCACCCAGAATCAGGCGGCTCACAACCACCTGTGATTCTAGCTCCCCTGGATCTGGTCTCAGTAGGCACCAGCACATTATAGACATACACACAAGCAAATATTAAGACAAACAAACAAAAACAATTATGAGGGCTTGAAAGATGGCACAGCGGGTAAAGGTACCTAGCTGCCAACCTTAATAACCTGCATTACTCCCTGAGACCCACATGATAGAGAACCAATTCCCAAAAGTTGTCTTCTGAGCTCTACACATGCACTGTGGTACACACATGCCTGCACAATCAATCAATCAATCAACCATTTCTAGAAAGTATTACAAACACGGACTGGAAAGAGGGTTAGTGCTCAGAGGTTAAGAACACCAGCTGCTCCTCCAGAGGACCTAAGTCTGAGACCCAGCACCTACACAGCAGCTCACAACCATCCACAACTCCAGTTTCAGAGGAATCTGACACCCTCATCTGGCCTCTGTGGGACCCCAGGCATGCACATGGTATAGATTACACACAGCCAAGACACCCACACACAACAATGATAAAAATAATGTTGTTTTTCAAGATGAGGTTTGTATAGCACTCAATCTGTAGACCAGGTTAGACTCAAACTCACAAAGATCCTCCTGCCTCTGCCTCCCGAGTGCTGGGATTAAAAGCCTGTGCCACTATTGCACGGCAAAACGATTTTTTTAAAAAACTATAGAAAAAAGCAAGCAAGCAAGCAATGATGAAGTCCATCTTAGTAGCTACTCATGGGGCTGAGGCAGGAGGAACATCCTGGCAACCTACTAGGACTGTCTCATAAGAAAAGAAAAAATGGAAAAAGGGAGGCTGGGAATATAGTTCAGTGATTGTCTAGCATGTGTGAGGCTCTGGGTTCCATCTCAGCAACCTCCATGCCCCAGAACAATGCCAACCACCATATGGTAAGGTGAAAAATAACCTATAAAAAATAAAAGTATAGCCATCAACTCTTTAAGACTTACACAGAAAGCTAGGAGGGGTGGCACACGCCAGCTCCTTCTTGAGAGGGCACAGTGAAGACAACAGAATGTTGCCAGCGTCTGCAGTGGAGCACTGGGAGTATAGTGACCTTTTCTCATTCCTGCCCAATTTCTTTAATGTGTAAATATCTCTGAGTGTGTGTGCTGCCGACTCAGACCCTGGAGATGCTGCAGCCTCATGCAAGCATGATAAAAGGACTCCTGGGAGCTTGTGCCTCAGGAGTCTCAGCTAGCACTCAGTAAAACACAGCTTCCAGCTGTGTTCACAGCCTTGGGAAGTCCACAGACACTACGGATGTTATACTCCCAAATGCCTACAGTAACTCCTCTGAGAACCCAGACCCCATCTAAAAGACAGACAGAATTCCACCAATATGTCTCAGGTGCCACTTTAATTAGGTTCTCACTACATGTGAGGAAGGGTGGAAGACAAGGATTATTTCCAGGCATACGCCTTCTGCCCCAAAGTAAACAGCCTGAGCTCCCCACAACAGAAATGTGCTTTCCTTCCCCTGAGAATCCACTCCTGAGCTGATAAAGGGACAATTGTGCCAGCGAACAGGAAAAACACATCAAGGGAGCCAGGGAAACTTCTGAATTCTGTCCAGTGCAAAAACTACAACTAGACATGGAGGTGACCCTCCTCATGGCAACAACAAGCCCCAACCATTCCCAGTTGAGGGCAAGCCCCTCCCCAGGGAACCTGAGAGCATTGTTCATTCCCCAGGGCTCCTCCCTACAGTGCTCCCAGGAAAGATCAGAAGCCCGCAGTCATGGAGACAGCCCATCCCACAGATGCAGCCTTCCTCTTCGTTGGCCCCTGCTGCTGCAGCTGTATAGCCATAACGGATCAGCCAGTATGTTTGTGGCTGGGGGATGCAGAAGGGGCCAGAGTGAGCAGCAAAGCAAATCAGATGTATGTTCTGAAGCTGGGTCGACAAGGTGGCAGGGCATGTCATAGCCCCGTGGATCACAGGGACCTGAGCCCTCCATTAATTCTTCTCTGGACGGTTTCTGTTCAGGACTGCTTTGGGGGCAAATTCCAGTTTGTCCTTAAGGCTCACCACCTGTGTGTGGTCCTTGCCTAGCAGCTCATTCAGCTTTCGGTCCTCTCGACGCTCCAGGATGCTCTTTTCCTCCTCTACAGGCTGGGGATCCTTTCCCCTGATGAACCATTCCAAGTGGTAGCCCACAGCCCCAACCACAAAGGCCACAGGAAAGGTGACATAGGGAGCATAGGTACGCACCACGGACCATAGCACAGGCCACATGACATCTGCAGAAGAAAAGAGAGCATTAGGGAGAAATGAGCATCCCCTCCCGCAGCACATGTGGAGGGCCCATGGGGGCACTCTACTTACCAGGCAGCTGGGCATTAGTAATTGAGCAGCTGCCCCACAGAGCAGCAAGTGGCTGCTGAGCTTTGTGCAACAATTGGGTCCCTGAAATACTCCAGGAAGTTGTGAAAAATTCGATGGTTAAGGAAGAGGGTAAAATCTCCATGAATGACGCGGTACTCCTGTATGCAGATGCTCCCCACAAGGAACCTCTGAGTGTCACCAAATGGAGCCTCAAACCTGGGGTGACCTCAAGCCCTGTACCCCCACCCCCAGTCTTTCAACATTTCAGGAAGGGAAAAGAAGCCTTTGCTCTGTGAAATTTCACATGCACATAACACAGCTCCACTCTGGATTCTGACTCTTTGATAATGAGTTCCCTTTCCTTGGGCAAAGTACAAGGGGCTTATTTAAGCAGCCAAAAATGATGATCTATTACCTAAGTAATAGACTGGACTAAAGACTGATAAGGGTTTTAAGCCTATTCTGGACTGAACTTTTCTAACAATGACAGTAATCTATAGTTAACAAATCCTGGTCAAAACACCCTCAAAATATTCCCCATCAACAATAGTCACATCCTCATGCTTGCACAGCAAGCTCCCAAAAATACAAGTGAATACAGTACTCCAGATGCCCTAGAACCCTAATACTTGAAAAGTCCCTGTGGAAAATGCTGTGAAATAAAAATAACAAAAATCATGGAGGTGCCCCTAGGGCCTTTTGCAATAAAATACCAAAGTAATATACAAACCCATTCACTCAAATGGCCACTTAGTCACAAATGATTACCACTATTAAATTATTATTTGTACCATTATTTAGTTACTATTACAATCATAAAAGGCCATTGGCAATGAACTATTAATGCTAGCTACCATCTACTGAGCACTCATTCCAAGCTGGGCCTTGGGCTAAACACTTCACACATGATAATCTCTAATTCTCAAATTCACTCCTTAGTCATCATCACGAAGTCACTTGTGTTAAGTATTTCTCCAATGCTGCTGTGTCTCTGCTCTGGGGTGAGACATCCAAGCCTCATGGAGGATTAGATGGTTCTCCCTTTCTCCCTTTGGTTCTAATTCTCTTTGGAGGGAGTGGAATGTCTTGTGAGCCTGAGTCTACCCATGGACCGCCAGGTATGAGGAACTGCAGCAGACTCAGGCTTCTCTTCCTGGTCCTTTGACTTGACACCAGGCCTTATGCTCCACAGTAGCTCCCTAGTCATCACCCGACCCTCACAATACCTCTATGATGTAGGAATAACTTGCCTGGATTCCTGTCCCAGGCCACAGTGGCTCAAAGACACTATGCCAAAACCAATACAAGCAGCAGGCACATTGAGTTTTTTAGGCCAAGCCTGGGCTTTTTCTAGTAAAACACTCTGCAGATGTGTGCATGATATCTGTTGAAACCACAGACATAGGAAGTGCCTCCTGCAGCGCCGTATTAGCTTAGCTTTTCATTACATTGAAAGATTTCCTTTCCTGTGCACTCTAAGGTTCTAAGGTCATACCAAGAGATTTGCAAAATCCTACAATATACACATTAAGGAAGAGGGAAGCTCCAAACAACCCCAAACTCAACGCTTCTCCGTTCTATTTTCTGTATTTTTACGATGTTTAAGACAAGTCGTCATGTTGCCCAGCCTGGCCTCAAACCCTCAGTTGAGTTGAGGGCGGCTTTGAACTGCTGATCCTCCTGTTTCCACTTCCAAAGCGCTTATAATTACAGGTGCATGTCAGCTGCAAGCTCTTCATACTATTCCTAAATAGCGACTCTCCGTTCAATTCTCCAATTTGCCTTAAGTATCAGTCTACAACTAATTCTCTTAGACGTAAAATACAGGTTCTGTACGGTCCTGTTCGTATTCCAGTCATCCACGTATCCAACACAACCATTTTCAAGTGACGGGCATTGTGTGGGCTTACCCTACTTGTCTACATCTCTCAAAACACCTTGAAGCTCCGGGAAGTTAAGGACCAAGGTTGTCCGGATCATCCTATACTCTGCCTCTTCCCCCCTGGAAAAGAGCTCCAAAAACAGTTTGATCGCAAGGCTGACAGGCAGCATAAACAAGTCGCTAAAGTAAGACTGACAGCAGCAGTCTCCCACCCACAATCACAAAGGGGCAGGAATACGACCGCAAGCAGCTAGACTTCATGAAGTCATCCCTAGGGGATCAAAATGTAAGTAGCAGAGGGGCCTCGCAAATACTGACGCCTATTTCCAGCCCAGCATGCAGGGGAGCTTGCCAAAGAGTCCAGGTACAGGTCAACTGGGCCACCCGGAAACCTGTCCTTGTGCCCAGTCCCACCGGAAGTCACACTCCAAATTCAAGAAGAGGTCCTAGAAGAATCACCCTTGACAGCTACCCCAGTCAAGTCTGGGAAGGAGAGCGCCGGAGGTCAGGGTCATCAGCTCCCGGTCCCCTGTCCCGTTACACGCGTGGCCTCGTCACCCTCCGGCCTGCAGGTGCCTGAGGCGGACAAGTTCTGACTGCAGCCGACACTCGGGAGCTGGCCGGACCCGGGACGGTTACGGAGACCAGCCCTCCCAACTAGGAGAACACGGCCAGGACCCCGTCCCTGCGGGACTCGTGGCCGGCGATCCAGGGAAGCGAAGCGCCCTAGGAACTCACCTACGGCCCCCCAGCACGCCCCGGACCGGCCCCGCGCTGCGCCCGCTAGCCGGGAGCAACACGGACGTCGCTACTCCCAGTGGCCCGCGGGGCATCACCCGAGGCCCCGCCCACTGGCGTCCGGGCGCTCTCGGAGAGCAGTGATTGGCTGAGCTCCGTTAAGCAACAAGAGGAAGGAAGCCGGGCATCCGCCTCTCTGTTGGGATGAACGGAGGTGAGTATCGCGCCCCCTGGCGGTTAGGAGGCTCCCCAAGCGACGTTGCTTCGTGCTTTCCTAGTGGAGAAACGTGAAAAGTCATGGCATTCATTGATCCAACTGAAGTTCATCAGCCATTTCCTGAGACCTAGGTCGGGTATTACTGAAACAGAAAACCCAACCCCTGACCTTTAGAAGCTTCCCTTAGCGAAGGATAATCTAGTGCTTTGAAACCTCTTCGGGTCTGTACTTTCAGGCTGTGTGTCTTTGGGAACGTTATTTAGTTCATCTCTGTGAAGACTCATTCCTTCTGCATAGCATTAACACCACCCATTTTCGCGGGGATGTTGTGAGGGTTTGATAATAATCACGTTTGTCAAGTACTGTGCCAGGCACACCGCAATCAGGGAAATAGATGGTAGCTTTGGTGAGTCTACAAACAGCTGAACTATCGATAGTGAAGCATTTGTACAAAACCCTCTGATACAGGCACCTCTGTCCTCCATGCTTCCACTCTCCCTGGACAGACATGTATTTACCACAGACAGGAAAACGCCTCAAGCCCAAGCTCTTTGATGCCCCAACATGGTCCTGCCTTCCCAGGCACGCGGCACTGACCTCAGTCTGACAAGCCTCCTTACCATTAGTGACACTAAAAATCAACTTTCTGAGCCTGTGCCTTTCTGTATTCTTTCATCCACCTAGAACGGTCCACCTACTTTCCCTGAACAAGTTAGCTGTGAGTCGTGCTTCAAGGTCATGAATGCTTTTGTAGGAAGTCTCCAGACTGCATTGTCAGGTTAGAGATTCTTACTATTTTACATCAAAGAGCCCAAAGCTAAGCCTGGGCGTGAAGATGGGGAGAAAGAAGCTGCCAGAAATTAGCAACCATAATTGGCAGAACTTGATTACTTGTGCACTGAATATGCAAAGAGGAGACAAGGTCAGAATTGTCTAGAACACAAGCTGGTGCTCAGTCACTCATTCTACATACCAGACGCTGGAGATATAAAATGGACTGCCCTCAGGAGTTTTCTGCCTGAAGAGGAAGCAGGTAGGCCACAAGATGTCAGCAATCTAAGAAATGTCATAACACAGGACACCATCAGCCATGCAAAGAGTCAGTGGACGTTCCCTGGAAGGACAGGCAGATCCTCAAGCTGCATCTTAGCAATGAATAGAAGCTCCCTCCAGCAGAACTTGAGTGAGCACAAAAGCTGAAAATGAAATCACAGCACTTGAGAGGTCATGAGGTTCAAGACCAACCTCAGCTATGTACCAAGAGTCTATATAAATGAGGGGGGAGCTGTGCATAGTGGCTCATGCCTTTAATCCTAGCACTCCAGAGGCAGAAGCAGGTGGATCTCCGTGAGTTTGAAGACAACCTGGTCTAATCAGTATTTCCTGGTCAGCCAGAACTCCATGCGGAGACCTTGTCTTTAAAAACAAAATTTGTTTTAAAAACCATACCGAACTTTGAAATTAGTCCTGGATTCAAATCCTGACTCTGTAGCCTGCAATTCTGAAAAAAAGGAGATACTTATAACCTTTTAAAAAGGATTTTATTGTCTGTATGCATAAATGGGGGTGTGCACATGAGCACAGGCACCTGAGGAGGTCAGAAGAGGGTGTCAGATCCCCCTGGAGCTGAAATTACAGGAGGTTGTGAGCTGTCAGACATGGGTGCTGGGAACCAAACTTGGATCATCTGCAAGAGTGGTATGCTCTCTAACCATTGAACCATCTCCACAGCCCTATTTGTATTTTTAAAAAGACAACCAGAAGATACCCTTGGGCTGGCGAGATGGCTCAGCAAATAAAGGCATTGGCCACCAAGCTGACTGCCTGAGTTTAATCCTCAGGATCCACCTGTTAGAAGAAGATCAACTCCTGAAAGTCGACCTCTGACCTCCCCATGGGGGTTGTAGCATGTGGCATGCGACTCCCCCCACACCACACACACACACACACACACACACACACACACACACACACACACACAAAGCAATAAAAACAATTTAAAACATCCTCTAGGGCTGCTTTTTTAAACCATCTTAACGTGCAGAAATCGCCATAGTTCTCGACATCTCAATGAGCACTGGTGATGCTTCTTGACATGCTAAGGATTCCCCAGATTCAGGCTGCTTTCTGTGATGTGCATTCGGGCATTGCTTGTTCATTAACAGAAAAATCTGTCTAATATCTTCATGTTTGCTCTTTTCATCCCACCCCAGATCCAGCCTACAGCCTTATGCCTCCTAACTACCCCTCAAAATCTACACCATTACCTCTTACCAGGACCATTTTAGCAGCTCCTCACCCCCACCACCACCACCACTGCCCCTCCACTCTACAGCTATTCCTTTGGCCAAAGGGCCATTCAAAAGCTTAAATAAGCCAGGAAGTGGTGGCACACGCCTTTAATCCCAGCACTTGGGAGACAGAGGCAGGCAGATCTCTTTGAGTTCAAGGCCAGCCTGGTCTACAGAGTGAGTTCCGGGACAACCAGGGCTACACAGAGAAACTCTGTCTTGAACCCCGCCCCATCCCCTGCCCCCCCAAAAAACAAACTCAAATAAAGTACTGGAATCTCTGAGTTAGCTCACAGATCCCTTTTGGCTGACCCTTTCCTAATCTGTCAACTTTCTGTAGCTTGTTTTTCCAGTCATTCCCAACACAGCCATCCTTCCAAACCCACACTGGCCCCTCGGCCTGAAGGAGTGTCCTCCTTTTTCCATTTCTCCTATGTAAAATCCCAATGCATCCTGCAAGACAGTTTACAAGGCTTCCCCAAACTCCCTGTGCTTCAGACGGATATTTGCTCCTGCTGAAAATTACACTGGAATCTAATTACCATTGTTTGTTCCTGCTGAAAAAAAATACATTGAAATCTAATTACTCTTGTAATCATGCAAAGAGGTTGGGCATCTTTAAAAAGCGATTAGGCCACAAAGACCCCAAACCTATGTATGGGTGAGATTGCAAAGGGGTGTTTGTCTCCCTCACTCCCTTTTCTTCCTTTTGCTTTCTAGCATGGGAGGGACTTTGGCACCAGATGCAAGCTGGTTTGTTGTTTGCTCTGAGAATAGGTGGGTCTCATACAACATGGCCTAGCCTTGAACTTCTGATTCTCCTGCCTCCAGCTGGGATGGCATGTGTGTGCTGGTATCTGTTTGTGTTTGTTGCTTCTTGTGAGACAGTCATTTTTTGTTTTTTAATTTTATCAAAAATTATGAGTGTTTTTCCTACATGTATGCCACTGTGCCACAAGCACACTGACCCAGGAAGGTCAGAAGAGGGTGTTAGATTCCCTGGACCTGGAGTTACAGTTTGAGCTGCCATGTGGGTGCTGGGAACCAAATCTGCCTCCTCTAGAAGAGAAGCCAGTGCTCTTAACAGCTGAGCCATCTCTTAAGACCCCTTTTGAGCCAATCTTGCTATGTGGCCTAAACTGGCCTTGAACTCACTGCAATCTTCTTGCCTCAACTTCCAAAGTTCTGGAATTATAATCATGCCTCACCACATTCAGTTGTTGTTGTTATTATTATTATTTGTGTTTGTATTTTTGATGGTAATTTTTTGTTGTTTTTTTGAGACAGGGTTTCTCTGGGTAGCTTTGTAGACCAGGCTGGCCTCAAACTTACAGAGATCCGCCTGCCTCTGCCTCCCTCCGAGTGCTGGGATTAAAGGCATGCGCCACCACCATCAGTTTTTTATGGTAATTTTTATATTTATTATGTTATGTGTATGAGTGTTTGTCTGCATGGCTGTATGTGCACCATGTGCATGCCTGATGCCTAAGGAGGCCAGAAGAGGGCACCAGACCTCCTGGAACAGGAGTTACAGACAGCTGTGGGCTGCTATGTGGATGCTAGGCATCAAATCCCAGTTCTCTGCAAGAGCAACAATTGCCTTTAACCAGTGAAACAACTCTCCAGCCCAACCAGTTATTTATTGTTGAGACAGGATCTTGATTTGTTAACAGGCTGGTCATGAACAAAGCTCAAATGGTCCACCTGTCCATACTCCCAAGTAGGTGGGGTTACAGATACACACTATTATGCCCTGCTTTAGGCATTTTGTTTTTGTATTTTTTGTCTTTCTTTGTTTTAGACAGTCTCACTAGGCAAAGTGGCATACATGCCTTTAGTCCCACCACTAGGGGAGGCAGAGGTGGATGGGACCACTGTGAGTTCAAGGCCAGCCAGGTCTACATAGTGAGACCCTGTCTTTAAAAAAGAGTTGATATAGGAATGAATATTTTACATTGGTATGGATTTTGGTTTATTGATACATTTTTAAGGTCAATTTTGCAATATGTATATTTCAACATAATACCTAAACAGGTATTATGTTTATGCAGCTCATTTAAAATGTGATGTATAGTTAAAAATGCAGATTATAGATGTCACCTAAAATAGTAAAAACTTAGTTAGGTTTTCTAGCTATACAGAGATATATTTCAGATGGATAGGTATTCTTCAAAACCTTTCAAAGACCTACAGAATATGGCGTTTAAGATGGTTTGTTAACTTAGGGCTTTTCATGACAATAAGACACATCTGCTCCTGGCAACACCAATTATGTCAGAGAGGAAGGTGGGAATTGAAGAAACTCGTTATGGAGTTTGCCTTCACTATGCCAGGGATAGCCATTTGGACAAGAAACTACTCTTGCCTAGACTGCTTGACAGACATTGTCCAAACTGGACAAGCGGGTTACAAAGAAAATCAACTGTTAAACTTGCCAAGGGACAGAATGGTCCTTCAAGGTTCCTGTTTCACAGAAAAGTCTGCCAGACATTCTGGGCCCATAGGCTGAAGATGGATGCCCCAATGTTACGGAAGAACTCTGGGTAACTGTCCAGGCAGCAAGATGTTTCCGTCAGTTCTAGAGTTTATATTATATCCTTCTGGGGTCTTTGATGGAGTTGAAGACAGATAGTTATGGTTATGGTTTTTCTTAGAAAAAAATTACATATAAAACTTTAAACTCACAAGATGATAGAGTATTTTCTTTAATTTTGCCAAATACAAATAGACTAAAAATTGTAACTATAATTCTTACTTGGTAACTGTTTTGCTATATATAATTTTACTATGTTAAAGTTAATATCCTTCTTTTTATTTAGACAGAAAAGGGGAGATTATATGGAGGTTCTTCTGTATGCTGCAAATATGTGTTGCTTTTATTTGTTAATGAATAAAGCTGTTTTGGCCAATAGACAGGCAGGACTTAGCTAGGCTGAAATTCCGAACAAAGAGTCAGGGAAAAGAAAGACAATGGAGAGTTGCCATGTAGACACCAGGAAGGTAGGATGCCTGGGCATTCTCCGGTAAGATAAGGCCATGTAGCGATACACAGATTAATAGTTACAGGTTAATAATTAAGAGAGAGCTAGCCAGTAAGAAGCCTAAGCCATTAGTTAAACAACTGTAACTGATATTAAGTCTCAGAATGGTTATTTCATAAGTGGCTGCTGGAACCTGGTGGGTAGAGAGGAACCAGTCCAGTGGAACTGAGCCTAGACAAAGCAGTCTCTCAATTACAAAGAGTCTCATATATACCAGAATAGCTTCAAACTCACTATGTAACTACAGATAATCTCAAACTTCTTATCTCCCTGCCTCCACTTCCCAAGTGCTGGATTATAGGTATGCGACATCACACCTGGACATTTTGCTGTCTTGAAATAGAACCTCTCAGCCTCCAGAACTAAGTTCATTACAAAGTATCCAGAATTAGTCTTATGTTGTACCTGTACTTGGTATGTACTCAGCTTCTCTGAGAGCAGGCCCCTCTTCAAAATACAGCTTTCTGTTCCTGGGCTTGGTTACAATCAGGCTGAGAGCCACTTGTTATTAAGGATATGTTACATTTGTTTATGCTGTGGAACATTTGTTTAATGATACGAAGGTGTGTTGCATTCTTTTTATGTTGCATTTGTTTAACTCTGTAAAGCTGTGTTTACTTTGCCTGTCTAAAACATCTGATTGGTCAAATAAAGAGCTGAATGGCAGGCGAAAGGATAGGCAGGGCTGGAAGGCAGAGAGTATAAATAGGAGAAATCTGGGGAGAAGGGATCAAGGACCAAGAAAAGGAGGCGAGGAGGACTCGAGAGGCCAGCCACCCAGCTACACAGCTACACAGCAAGCCACAGAGTAAGAAGTAAAGAATACAAAAATAGAGAAAGCTAAAAGCCCAGAGGCAAAAGGTAGGCAGAAAAGCTGGCTAGATATAAGCCAAGCTAAGGCCAGGCATTTATTAGAAAGAATAAGCCTCCATGTGATTTTTTGGGGGCAGCTGGGTGGTGGGCCCAGAGTTTTTAAAAATACAACTTGTACCACCTCTTTTTTGTACTTCTGGGCCACAGAACAACAACCCAGGCCACTGGCCCAACACCAAGAAACTGCCTCACATTCTCAAGCCCTGAGGATATTTTTATTTATTTATGTATTTATTTATTGGTTTGTTTTTTGTGGTTTTGAGACAAGGCCTCTCTGTGTAGGCCTGGCTGTCCTGGAGCTTGCTAAATAGACCAGACTGGCCTCAAACTCATAGAGATCTGCCTGCCTCTTCCTTCCAGCTGCTGGGACTAAAGGTGTGCACCACCACACCTGGCTGCTAGGGACACTTTAAGCATATGCTCACAGCGGGGTGACCAGACTTATTAGTACTGACATGTTTCCTCGTGTCTACTCCCATCTATATGACTTCAGGAAACCTAGCCCATTTCTAAGAAAGGGCAAAGTGTAATGGAATCCCATATAACGTAGACTCTGTATCTTCCTGGCTTCAGGATTGGGGGAAGGAGTTTAAGTTCCCAAGCTTGTTCCCCCTCACCTGAAAATCACAATACCTGATTGCTCCGATCATTCAAAACTCACTATTATCCCACTTTAGGGTGGAAAAATACTCGCAAGAGAAGGTTAGCCCAGCCTCCAACTGGAAAGCCAACAGAAAATAGACAACGCCCAGCCCCAGTGTTCCCACACCTGGCTGTATGTCAGAATCACCTGCAGCACTTGTTCAAAGCCCATTGGAGGGGGCTTCAGAGATGGCTCAGGAGTTAAGAGTACTGACTGCTCTTTCAGAGGACGCAGGTTCAATTCCCAGCACGCACATGGAAGCTCACAACTGTCTAAACTCCACTTCCAAGGGATCTGAACTGTCATCTGGACTCCGAGGCACACATATGGCACACACATGGCAAACACGTATACACATAAAATTGAAATTTAAATTAAAAAAAAAACTAAGGGCCAGGTAACGTGGGTAAGGATAGTAGATAAAATAACTGACATGCAAGGACAGGGACCCAAGTTTGGATCTTCAGAACCCACACATTAAAAGCCTATTGTGGGCCCGGCGTTGGTGGCGCACGTCTTTAATCCCAGCACTCGTGAAGCAGAGGCTGGCGGATCTCTGTGAGTTTGAGGCCAGCCTGGTCTACAGAGTGAGTGCCAGGATAGGCTCCAAAGCTACACAGAGAAACCCTGTCTCGGAAAAAAAAAAAAAAAAAAAAAAAAAAAAAAAAAAAACAAAGCCTATCGTCCAGGTGGATGCCTGTAATCTCAGTATTGGGAGATATAGACAGAAAAAGCCCTGGGGGTTGACAGCCAGCCATTACAGCAGAGTAGCCAAGCTCCAGGTTCAGTAAGCCTGGATCTCAAAAAATGAAGCAGAGAATGACCAAAGACACACACCATCAGCCGCTAGCTTACGTGCATGTGTGTGCGCACACAGAGAGACTTTAAAAAGAACAAGGCTCAGGACTACCTCCATGGTGTCTGCCAGTGACAACGGCCCCAAGAGACTATAAAGGGGGCTTTTGTGTGTGTGTGTGTGTGTGTGTGTGTGTGTGTGTGTGTGTGGAGAGAGGGAGGGAGAGAGAGAGAGAGAGAGAGAGAGAGAGAGCGCTGCAGTCAAGTTCCTTCCAAATTGAGCAAACCATAGATGTAAAAACCCTATGAATTGCCATTAGACCTGGCTGGGCCCACTACTTCTAGCTTTGTGATTCTGGAGAGCCCACTTAAGTCTCTCTGAGCGTCAGCCTTCTATCAGTGAAGCACTCATCCTTTGGCTGACCCTCAGGAGGCATTCAGTAAATAGTAGCCATGCCTCCTAACTTTAAGTTACTTTCTCAGTATAGCGTTGTCCTTTAAGCCCCTCCTGCAATGTGTCCACCTACAGGTGGCATCAGAGAAAGTGGCAGCACGAATCTGGAGTTTGCTGCAGCTGACTGGGTTGGGCAGGAGCAAGACGATTCTTGTCCTCCATGCAAAGTGTGTGTGCGTTCACTGACCTGTAACAATAGCCAGCCCCCCAGCACACCATCCCATTGCACTTGTGCTGTGTGTCAAGTACTGAACGCAGGGTCTAGGAGGCAAAGGGCCCTGGATTGAATGAGGGGCGAATGGGTTCCTTCAGTCCCCTTCTCACACAAGCAGGGCCCCTCCAGGAAGGCATAGATCTTCATAGTGACCGCCAGAATCCCTTCTCCCAAAGAGCCTTCCCAGAAAGGGCTCAGGCAACCCCTGCGGTCCCCACGCCAAGAGTACTCAAGCTCTTGGTCCCTTCTCCTCTCCCCCACCCCCCACCTTACCCAAGCCCCCCACAGAGGTGGTCTCTTCGGGAGAGAGCTGGCTCCGGTGCAGTTCTGCGGTTTTATTTTTCCTGGGATAGTCAAAGGGATGTGGGAACAGCCACAGGTGTGGTGAAGGAAAGCCCCTGTCTCCCCTCCCCAGATACGGGAAAGGGGAGAGGCCCAGGTGCCCTGGTCCTGGGTTGGACCAGCCACTGTGGTCCCTGGGCCCTGTGGGCGGAGGGCTGAGGGTGGAGCCCTGGGAAGGTGGGGCGGGCTCCTAGGCAGGGGTCGGGATTCTTCATAAAAAGCCACGAAGCTTGATCCCCACGAAGCCCAGCCCCGCGGGGTGTGGGGGGGACGCAGAGCCCAGATGGGGGACCCGGCCCGGCCTGGCCCGTGGTAGTGGTGGGGGGGTGTAAAATAATGGCAGAGATGGTG